ATCTCGAATAGCTGTCCTCTCACGACGTGGGTTGGCTGCGGCAGCGGCTCAACATAAGGATTCCGAAGAACTTCGTCTGACGTTTGCTTCTCCAGATACAGTAGGTGGATCCTTTCATAGTTATCATAATTCCATGTTTTTTACGCGCGGATAATTTACCAATCACCTTCCGTATTTAAAACCCTAGACGAGCCTATCCTTTTGTCGTTGATTTCTTACTTGTCTGGAAATCTATGCCTTAGATAACACTAAAATAAGATCGGGTTAAATAAACGCTCACTGCCAAAGTTAACGTCCGACAGCTCGCTCTCAAAGCGCTTGTTTTCCCTTAGTACGATAACAGAACCCTCCAAGCTCTAGCCATTTGGGGGAGTTCACGCATGTATGAAGAGAAAATGGAGTGTTGTGGAGCAGAGTAGGTAATTTCTGCAGAAGTTGTTCGGTTGGTGCTCACTATCCTTTGTGAACTGAGCTTTTTTTTTGTTGATGCACCTAGGAAGATATATTGATGTCCGAAACAAAATAAGATAAGACTTTCGCCAGATTTTTGATAAAAGGCCTCATTTTTGATGAAACGGACTTCTATGTAGTGGCTAGAGGCTTAACATGAAGTGTTAAAAAATCTGGCACCTAGTTTTTGATGAATTGAAAAGGCGGTCGAACATTGCAGTCGTTTAGTTCATTATAATAGGAAACAGTTTAAATTCTTTAACTCCTTCAATGGATGAAGTTTTGTTCTCAGGCGTTCTTCAACAACGCAGTCGTTAAACAAGTTGATGTCCCGACACTTGCTGGCATGGTCGGTGTTNCTGGCATCTAGTTTTTGATGAATTGAAAAGGCGGTCGAACATTGCAGTCGTTTAGTTCATTATAATCGGAAACAGTGGAAATTCTTTAACTCCTTCAATGGATGAAATTTTGTTCTCAGGCGTTCTTCAACAACGCAGTCGTTAAACAAGTTGATGTCCCGACACTTGCTGGCATGGTCGGTGTTCTTGCAAACCACGTCCCCACAATTGGAGTATTGAAGCCAGGAGTTGTTTCTGTAACCGATAACGATGGTTAGTTGTTTCTTAATAATTGGAAGCATCAAAAATGTTAGTTTCCGTTCAACATCAGAAACGTTAATTTTTTAGAATTTATTGGTAAAGTCAGAGGAATTCTGATTACTATGGCTTGAGGGAAAACTGGAAATTTGATCAGCGGAGTCGTACTATACATACAGCAAATTGGGGGCTATGTAAGGCTTATATGCACGCTTGAATAATTTGATTACAAGTCTGTCTTTCATATGTCGCCGCTATACCAATTGAACAAGAATTCCCGCATCACTGAAAGTAAACACAGGGGTATAAGTAGATAAACTGCTGCTGAACTCTGATCGTACTAGAGAGGAGGAATGCGGTGTTAAGTACAATACTTATATTAGGCATTGACCATGGCGAGATCCATTTCGTCACCTTTAAGTCAGTTCCGTGCTCAATAACTATACAATATACTTGTGCCAACACATTATTTCCCGTTCTCTATACTGTACAGAGTTTTTCTCAGAATGTTTTTGATTATACTCCTCGATTCGGCCAATAGGTTCGAAGAGGTTAAAGGAACAGCTTTTCCAGTTTGTTTAACAGCCGATGTATGTAACAATGTAGAACGAAGGCGATCCATACCATCCGAATAATTTTTTTATTCGTTCTGCATACAAAATCGCATCAATGTATATCCTTTGCTCAACAAAATGAGGCATGCAAAGATCGAAGCTCTCCCTTTGTCTTCAGAAAACTTTTGAATTTGCAGTAATTGATAATATTGGCATGGAACCTTACCTAAATGCCACAAACCTTGCCCGCGAACCGAGAAAAAGTAATTTAAAGTAAATCCACTTCTATGGTCACAGTATTATACCAGTACTCCTAGAAATGAGGCAGTACTCTTCATCCATAAAAACACATTAGGTTAGGGAAAGCTCTGTTTGAAACGTTGAATCTGTTTATGCTACAGTGCTTACCTGTTTAATTCCCAGCAAAGTAAATAAAATTGTAAAAGCACATTTATTCAGGGTGCCTTTGGATGTTACCCAAGGCGCTCGTAAAAATGGTGCGATAGCGTTTTACCCAAATTATTCCTGTCTCCGTTAATTTGACGTCGACAGTGAAGTGAGGGAAACATATTTTTGATGAGTTCTCATGTAAATAATCGTTTATGTCAAGATAAACTTTTGTATATACACTTATTCATATAACATCCTTCTATGAGTATACTTTTGTAGGTAAAGTAACGAAACTCTTCGTCTCATCGGGCACCATGTCTATGAATATCGATGGAACCTGCCAGGTGCTAGCTGAAGAAGTTGTCAAAGTTGAAGATATTGACCAAGCAGTAAGTCTAGCCTTTCCTGTGTTGATTTCGTAGAGAGGGATCTGCACAGCCTTCAGAGTACTAGTCGTTCAGCAGCTAGTACTTGTACACACTTGTGCGATATCATTCTGCCCCTTCATATGCCTGTCGCAGCGAAATTTGCTGCTACAACGAAAAAGAGGCAACACTATCTT